GCACGAAACCGGTCAGACTCAGGGTCCGGAACGTGAGGCAAGGAAGACGCAGGAGGAGACGGCAGAGAAACAGACTGCGGAACAGAGGAAGGACGACGGACGACAAGGTGTGCAGTGGGGACAGGCGGCGAACGCGGACGCGGAACACGACGACCGGTATGACTAGGACGAACAGGCGAGACAGGACGCGACGCAGGCTCACGACGCTCAGCAAGACTACCTGTCTGCTCAGTGTAAGGAGAAGGAGCAGGCAGCGGTGAGCCAGGCTGTAACGGAAGACCAGTAGACGACGGGAGAGTAAGAACCTGACGAAGAACAGAGTCAGGCGGCGGCAGAGACGACGGAGACGGCGGAGCGAAGAACAGTCGTGGCGGCGCAGCTGCACCAGTACCGGCAGCTCCAGCAGCAGAACCGACACCTCCAGGCCCAGGGTCTCCAACCCCAGTGCCTCCAGCAGCAGCAACCCCAGAACCAGTACCTCCAGTCCCAGGGTCTCCAGCCTCCACGTCTCCAGCAGCAGCACCCCCAGAACTAGCACCTCCAGTCCCAGGGTCTCCAGCCTTCACGTCTCCAGCAGCAGCACCCCCAGAACCAGCACCTCCAGTCCCAGGGTCTCCAGCCTCGGTGTCTCCAGCAGCAGCACCTCCAGACGCAGCACCCTCAGCCCCAGCAGCTCCAGTACCTCCAGTACGAGCACCTCCGGGACCAGCGACTCCAGCACCTCCAGTAGAAACAGTACCAGCACCACTCCTAGCTCCAGGGACGGCAGCAGAAGTACCTCCAGCAGTAGAGCCCCGGGCTCCAGCAGCGCGACCCTGACGGCGACCGTACCAGTCGTGCAGCTGCTGCGAGGTGAGAGGCACACGTGGACGAAGGCGGCTACTCCAAGGAGACCGCGGAACTGCAGACTCTGAACCCTCAGCGCCAGCACCCTCAGCAGCTCCAGCGCCACCAACACCAGGACCTCCAGCAGCTCCAGAACCTCTAGCGCTCGCACCCTCTGCAGCCCCAGAACCACCAGCTCCAGCACCTCCAGACCCCTCACACGCAGGCTCAGCACCTCCAGGCTCCACACGTCCAGGTGGAGAGTCTGCAGGGGAGCCTCTGTGGGAGGGAACGAGGAGGAGTGAGGAGCGGCGCGCTGCCGCCCCTCGACGCAGGGAATGCAAGGCGGCGCAGGCGAGGGGGGGAGGGCAGGCAGAGTCCTGGGGAGACCAGAAACTAGAGAGCGAGAGTGCATGCCACGAAGGCGCTGCACCGAGGGGTGACCAAGGCGGTGGTGCCACAGGAGGGTCTGGTGCGACAAAGCACGACACTCGCAGGGGGCCGACAACTGACCTGATGCAGACGCAGACGCAGCTACCTGAGGGGCCGCAGTGGTCAGTGTGTACAGACTCGAGCCAGGCGCACGGGTAAACGTGGCCAGGTGTCGGCCCGTCCGAGCACACGTACAGTGAGTCACCCGCTGACCCGCAGGAGTGAACTGGTCAACTCCCCCATCCTGGAGGTCAGCTCCACTCATCAAGTTTGTAGAGAACGAGGGGAGGTAGAGACCTGACAGCACGCCAGATGGGACGGCCGGACACGGCAAAACCGTGGAGTAGCGGGCAACGACAGGACCCCCAGAGGGGTCCGCCAGGGAGACTGCAACCGGCCGACTAAGCGGCGTGAGTGTGGTGCAGTCGCAAAAGAAGGAGCGAGAAGCTCCTGAGTCAAGGGTGAAGGTGTGCAAGGCCGCAATAGGCGCAGTACCAGAGAGAGCAGACTCACAGGCACCTGGGGCGGCAGCCTCACCAGCACCTAGAGCAGAAGACGCAGTAGCACTGAGAGCAGCAGCCTCACCAGCACCTAGAGCAGGCGACGCACGAGCACCTAGAGCAGCAGCCTCACCAACACCGAGAGCAGCAGGCTCTATACCTGGGTCAGGCGGTACGCACAGGTAACAGGCTCGGTCAGCAATAGTAGGCAATGCATACATAGCAGTGAGAATAGCATCATAGTCAAGAGCAAAGATATCTATCCTCTGGCTAAGCAGCTCCAGCCAGGTGGGGAGCTCAGCCTCGTCACCAAACTCGGTACGCCAGGCGTCGCTCAGGCGGGCGAAGCAGCGGGACTGTGTGTGACCAGGCGTCCCGCAGGTCTGACCAGCTCGATCACCTGTGCGAATGACGTACCGGCAGCGCACTGGACTGAAAGACCCTCTACTCTGAGCGTACCACTCCTCGAGCTGGCGAGACGTAAGTGTCTCGCGTGGACGCCGCTGCAGCTGCAGCTGGCCACTGCTAGAGGCCCCCAACTGACCAGCTCCAGGGCGACAGCTACGACGGCTACCGCGACAGCCCCAACTAGTATACCACTCACTAAGCTGCTGGGGCGTGAGAGACTCGCGTGAGCGTCGCTGGAGCTGCATCTGGTCCCTTGCTAATAGCTAGTAGCAGCAGCAGCTCGGGCAGGGCAGGCGCGGCAGGCCGGCAGACAGGCAGGCAGGCCGGCAGGCAGGCAGGCAGGCAGCCAGACAGGCAGGCAGGCAAGCTGACAGGCAGAAAGGCCGGCAGGCAGGCAGGCAGGCAGGCTGACAGGCAGGCAGGCAGGCAGGCAGGCAAGCCAGCAGGCAGGCAGGCAAGCCGACAGGCAGACAGGCCGGCAGGCAGGCAGGCAGGCAGGCAGGTGCTCACCAAAGGCTGGAAGGGCAGGTGCTCGCCGGGCGAGCAGGGCCGAGTAGGCGCACGACCGCAGCTGCGATGGGGCCGGAACAGCGACAGTAGAGTAGGGCTGCAGCAACTGCAGGGTGGGGGGCCGCTTCAGCGGCAGTCGCAGAGTGGGGGCCGCATCAGCGGCAGGTCGGAGCCTTGGCAGCAGCAGCGAGGGGCCGCAGCAGCGGAAGGTCGGGGCCGATGCAGCTGCAGGCTATGCAAGGCAGCGCGCGGGGCTGCTGTGGGCCGAGCGCGGGCTGCGGGAGGCAGAAACAGGCCGCGCGCAGCAGCAGCTGGCCGCGCGCGGCTCGGCAGGGACTGCGCGCAGCAGCAGCAGGCCGCGCGCGGCTCGGCAGGGGCTGCGCGTGGCTCGGGGGGGGTCGCGCGCGGCAGCAGCGGGCTGCGCGCGGCTCGGCGGGGCCGCGCGCAGCAGAAAACGGGCTGCGCGCGTCTCGGCGGGGCCGCGCGCAGCAGAAAACGGGCTGCGCGCGGCTCGACGGGGCTGCGCGCAGCAGAAAACGGGCTGCGCGCGGCTCGACGGGGCTGCGCGCGGCTCGACGGGGCTGCGCGCGGCAAATCCGGGCTGCGCGCGGCTCGGCGGGGCTGCACGCGGTTCGACGGGGCTGCACGCGGCTCGCTGGGGGCTGTGCGCTGCGCTGACGGCGTGTGAGGGGCAGCAGAGCGGCGCGAGCAGCGAGGGCGACGCTTGAGGCAGCAGCGGGCAGCGTGCGTGACTTAGGTCTGCGCGGTAGCAGCAGCAGACAACACAGTAGGCAGCAGGCAGTAGGCTACAGGCAGACGGCGCGCGCAGCGCAGCACGTCACAGGCAGAGGCACAGGCGTGGGGTAGCGGTAGGTGGGCCCGAAAAAAAAACGGTCCTACGGACCTACTGCTCTGAAACCATGTTAGAATCTAGAGACAAGAATGAATGCATCGATCAAGAGTTGGGTACATAAGCTAACCCTAACATTGGGTTGTACCCCATATGGGCTACCCCACTAGCAGCCTACACAAACACAATATGCATAGTTTGACAGTTCTCGTCTTGTGTAGACTTGAGTTGACTGTTTGTTTTGCTTGTACACTTGCTGTATATCTTTGTGAGTTCTTGGCTGGCCTTGTGGCCCCTGGTGTTTGTGCTCAGAGTGTGTGGTGACGTTGTGATCCACCCTGAGCTTTGTTTCTTTTGGACTGGTCTTATGACTGTACTCTGTAGGTCTTTGTTCGACACCCCTCACTTAGGCTATGGGGGTGTGTCAAATATGTAGCCTACAGTGAGACTTGTCTTAGGGGGTACATCTGTTAGGGTTTCTATATGTACCCCAAGCACATCAATGAAACACAACATTCTCTCATTCTAACACGCTGTTCATATCGCGACCCAACCTTACGGTTTGGTTGGTAACCCGCGCTCCGGTCCTCCGCCTCGTCAAATCCCAACCTCGGCGCTAAGCCCGTAGCGCACTCCAATTTCTCGCGTTACGCTAGCTTCACTATATATTTTTCGCTCATTCCTTCGCTCGACCTACTGTTTTGCTTGGATAGTGCAATTGTCGCTCGCTCGCTCAATTGCACTTATAAGACATCCTTATGTCCTTATTCCCATCTTTTGTTCAGTCCGCCATCCATCTAGCCTGTTTTTGAGACTTAATGAAGGTGTCCTCTATTCTTTATAGCCATCAGGCCACACCCATGAGAAGGGGGATGTGAAAGAAAGTTTATATTTGAACAGAAGATAAATTCGAATTTCACCAATTTCTAATAACAAAATCGAACGCTCACAAACAGGCCGCGACATGACTGTTGTGTTGTGCATGAGGGAACTTGTGGGCGCTTCGCATGAGGCCAGCTTGGGCACATTACATGACGCCAGCCTTTGCCAGTGCGCGACCCGCTGCGATACACTTTGCTTCTGAATTTTCTACACGGTGGCGTAATTTATCTGCAGATTTCAGATCGGTAACTTGTTTTACGGTGTGGTAAATGCTCACCCTGCCACAAAAACGCGACTCGATGCATCCTTGTTTGTTCTACATTCAGTTCAGTTCAGTTCAGTTCCAGTTCACTCCGTTCAGTGAAGCATGCGCGTGCGGCGCGACTCGCATGTGGTGGCCTCCTCCTGCCAGCAAACCAGCAGCAGTTCAGGAACCTGGGTCGTTTCACGAGCAGGTCTCACCGTGAGAGCAAGTATTTATTAGACGCAATTCTCATTTCACGACAGAAATCATCAGCCTCCTCTCCGAAAGATCTACCTACTGCTCGAACAACGTCCTGAGAATATCATCAGAGCAGATTTCAAGCGCAAATATGGCGTTCCCTAGGAGCCTCTTCTTAATCCTCGCCATCATCAGCCTTGTATTGCGTGCCGCAAATGCAGCTAACATGCCCGCTGGCGGATGCCACACTCGCTACGTCTGCCCCTACATAGACAATCTAGCTACCGCAACGATCTCGCAGTCTACTTACACCAGCTACAAATACATCGGCGATTACCAGGGGCTGTTCAACGACCAGGGCGGGCAGTTCGTGCCACACCAGCGCGGATCCGGCCCCGTGAACTTCGAGCGGTACACGGAGGTGGGGACCATCTTCGACGTGGTGAAGGGCGTATACGGTGACACGCTACAGGAGTGCTGCCGCGCATGCGCGCGCTCCACCTACTGCTACCAGTGGCACTGGTTCAAAAAGTGAGTGGTTGAGACTTTCAGAATATTTTCACCGCGGCGGAAGCCACTACTACCTCTGGAATCGCTGATTCCAACGTAGCTGGTAGCGCACCGAGCACAATGGCGTGTGCCGGATTGACTGACTTACATTTTCTATGCCTTTCTCCGCCTATCTTTCGATCCTCTCCCCCCACACAGCTCGCGTCTTGCCGGAGAAAACTCGAAGGTGGCGGGATTCATCGACCGCATACAGTGCTACCTGCTGGAGAAGAACGGCGGCTCGGGCACGTCGGGCTCGTTCAAGACGCCCAACGCGGGCGACGCGGCCACGCAGACTGCGAATGCGGCGTTGTACCCGCTGAGCTTCGTCGGCGGGCTCTGCAACGGCACGGCGCTCGTGGAAAATGACCCGCATCTCACGGGCGCGCACGGAACGCACTACGATTTCACCGGGCGGCTCGACAAGTCGTTCTGCCTCTTCTCCGACCGTCGATTCCACGTTAACATGCATCTGGATGGTTACCAAGGCGCACCTCCCGCGATTTCCGCGTCAGCGAAGTCGAATGAGAACAAGGATTCGAGCACGGAGCTGCACACGTGGATTAAGGAGGTCGGCGTGGTATGGATGACGCCCGACGGCGCGAACCACACGCTGCGCATGGTCGCGCGCAAGGGAAAGCAGCAGGAGCGCGGGGATAACGGCTTCATCTCGCTGCTCGAGGTAGACGGCACGACGATGGCGCCTCCAAGCGTCGGCGAGTCGATCTCGACGAACAGCAGGCTGGTGGTTACCAAAGTCGCGGAGGAGAAAGAGGGGCCGTTTGACGTGGATCAATTCAAGGTGCGCGTGGCGGGCCTGGGCGAACTGGACGTGCGCGTGCGCGTGGCGCACCCGCTGCTGCAAACGCCGACCGAGGCGGAGGCGCACTTCAACGTCGAACTTTCTGACGTGAAGATGACGTCAGCCGCACACGGCGTGCTGGGGCAGACGTTCAGGAACTCGCCGGAGCAGCTGCAGCGCGCGGTGAAGTACTCACACTTGGCGGCGCTGCTGCACCACCCCGTGGACGTGGATAAGGCTGAGGGCAGGGGGTTCCTGGATGGAGAAGTGGAGGACTACATCTCCTCGTCAGTCATCGCCCCGGATTGCAAATATGCCAGCTACGGCACCAGCTCAGACGCCTGAGGAGGTTCACCCAAGACTGGATTCTCAGAGACGTCGCGGTCCAAGTGATTGAGCTGCCGCTGCTGTTGTATGTGTTGCTGCTGTCCGTCCACCCAGCCGATTTCTGCCTGTTTAGGCTAATAAGGGCTCGGACCTACTGTACTACCACTAAAAGCTGTTTGTGGCTTCTGGGTAGTGTTATAATAAGTCTGTTAAAGGCCTAATTGTGTGCGCTATTGGAATCAAACCTTGAATTATGCACTCATCACCACAAATTCACAAGAGTTGAAAGGCACAAGTAGCAGAAAGCTTCAACAGCGCAGCAAACCAAATGGCAAAACAAGCCAGGGCACTGTCCTACCGCTGCCTTGTTTAGGTGTTGCCATAGGTGAAAGCTAGTGTCAAATGTTGAGCTAATAGTGAGGCATGCCATATGGGGTACAGTTGTTAGGATTAGAGCGTGTGCCTACACCTCGTATCAGAAACACCTCGTATAAGCTTCGCGTGGTGAAATACGTTTCAGTGTGTTCGACTGCGGTCGGATGCGTTTTAGTGCGGTTCGAGCGCGAATCTGATACGAGGTTGCCTGATATGAGCGCTGGCAAGCATGCGGACGAGCATTGGCAGGCTGCCAAGCGCGTCCTCCGGTACCTTCGTGGCACCAAGGACTATGTCCTTACCCTTGGCGGCCCTTCCCCACCTATCCTCAGCGGCTACAGTGACTCCTCCTGGGCTGACTCCCGACCAGATCGTCGCTCCTCCCAGGGCTATGGCTTCTCTCTTGGCAGCGGCCTCATCAGCAGGCGTTCCGCGCGCTCCTCGGCTATCGCCCTCTCGTCCTGCGAAGCCGAGTTGTATGCCGCCACCATGGCTGCACAAGAGGCTCGCTGGCTCTCCTTCCTTCTTGAGGAGCTTGGTGCCCCCCAGCGCTGTCCCACCATTTGGTGTGACAACGCCAGCACCATTCACCTCACGAAGGATGCTGTGTTTCACGGGCGCTCCAAGCACATTGAGCTCCGTCATTTCTTCATTCGCGATCTTGTTCAGGCTGGGCACCTTCGGCTCGACAAGGTTGACTCCGCAGCCAACCTTGCCGACATCTTCACGAAAGCTCTTCCGCATGCGGCTCACTCTTCACTGATTCGTCTCCTTGGCCTTACACCTCCGAAGTTGGTCTCCACTTCTTGATTATAGCCTTCTAGCCTTATGCATGTTGGGGGGTTGTGTTGTAACTCCATATTTTATACAACATGCATAGGCTAGACTTAGATGTGTAGCAGTCTTATAAATTGGGGGGTTGCTTAGTGTACCCTCCAACCACATTTTGTGGTTGGTGAGGATTGGTCCTTACCTCAACCAATCCCAACCAACACACATTTTGTGGTTGCTTGGGCCACAAGCAAACTCACCCATTGGCCAACTTATTGGCCAATAGGGTAAGCTTCCCTCTCATCTCTCTCTTGCTCATTGCTTGTATTAAATAGCCTTTTGACTCATTATTCAGTGCATCAATTCTTCTTTCTCACAGTTCATACAGCTCAACACTTCACACACCTTCCCCTCTCTCTCAAATCAACCCACCTTGCTCTCTTCCAACGAAACCGCCTCCCCTTCACTGTCCCGCATCAGCGCCCGCACCCTGTCGCTCACTTTCGATGCACTGCATGACTGGGCCCTAAGACCACACACACAGCCACACCACCCACCTTGCTCTCTTCCAATGCAACCGCCTCCCCTTCACTGTCCCGCATCAGCGCCCGCACCCTGTCGCCCACGCGCACTGAACCCGACGCTATCCGGCCAATCAGCAGGCGACCGAGAAACGGGTCCCTATCAATGAGTGACACCTGGCACACGAGCGCATGGACGGTGAAAGAATCTCAAGTTACGATAATGATATAGGAGAGATGGGTTTACGTAGGAGAGAAAACGGTGGGTACATTGGATGAGTGGCACCATCATTGGTGGGCCAATTAGGTTGGCCACCTAATGATTGGTGGGGTCGACCAAGATTATTCGGGGGGGGGGGAGGGGGGGGGGAGGGGGGTGGGTGGGTGGGGAATGATTGGTTAGATGGTCCAACCATTACTTGGGACGTCTTCCGAGCTTCTTGGTCAAATGGTCTGCTGCCATCTCGGATGTGGGGCAGTAGGACAGCTCGAGTCTTCCTTTCTCGATCTCGTCTTTTACGAAGAAGTATCGCAGGGCGATGTGCTTCGCTCGGTTCGTGAACCCGTTCTTGTTCGCTATGCGAATTGCTGATTGGTTGTCATTAAAGAGAGAGAAGCTGGGTAACTAGGCCAGCTTTGCTTCTTCTAGTAGTTCGCGAAGGTACAATCCTTCTTTGATGGCTGAGCAGAGTGCGATGCATTATGCTTCAGCTGAAGAGAGAGCAATCAGCTCTCGTTTACTTGACTGCCACGAGATAGGGCCGACGGGCTCGAGTCGATAGATGTAGCCTGTACGTGATCACCGATTCTCAGAATCACCGGAGTGGTCGGCGTCTACGTAACCGATTAGTTTCGACGCTCTAGATCCAGTTTTGTGGTAGGTTAGCCCGATCTTGGGAGTGCTGACGAGGTAGTGTAGTGCGCGGTCGAGCTCCGCCATGTGTTCTGCTTCGGGTCGTTTGAGGAAGGTAGCTAGCTGGCTCGCTGAATACGACAGGTCCGGTCGGCAGGTGACGGCTACGAAGAGCAAGCATCCTAGCTTCGGCCGGTAGTCTCGTAGGCCGGCAGGTCTGAGCGGAGCGGATTCTTCCTTGTGATTTCGGTGGTGTAGCGATATGGCGTGGAGATGGCCGCTGGCGTTAGTCCGAAGCGTTTTGCGATAGTGTCGGCGTATTTGGCGGCGCTAAGGTAGATCGCGTTCTCTTCGTATTGTATGTTCAGTCCCAAATATTGGGTCACGGTAGAGGAATCGGTGAGTGTGAGATCCTTCTGTAGCTCCCCTTCAAACCAGGTAGTGATGTTGTCGGTGAAGCCTGTGTAGCGGAGGTCGTCTATATAGACGATGAGCAAGATGTACTCAGCGGCTTTTGTGAGCCGGTACATCCCGTGGTCATGGGGCAGTTGACGGAAGCCGATGCAGATTTATCGGGCGTGCAGGTACTGATGCCATAGTCGTGGGGCTTGTTTGACAGACTTGATTAGGGTCTGTGACAGAACCATGTGGCTGTTTGACGAAGATTTCGACGTCGACGGGAGCATAGAGAAACACATTGGCTACGTCGATTTGACGAAGCTTCTTTCGCTTCATGGCGGCTATCGTGAGAATAATTCGAAGGGAAGTATGTCAGCTGATAGGTGCGAAGGTCTCGGTGAAGTCTCTGCCGTGTTCTTGATCGAAACCGCGCACGACCAATTGTGCTTTGATCTTGTCAATTGTTCCATCTGCTTTCGTCTTCACGCGGAAGACCCACTTTCCCATGAGTATGGTTTTGTTGCGTGCCATTCCAATGGGCACTATCTTCCAGGTGTTTCTGTCTGTCAAAATATATATGTGATATATATATGTAGGCTGTAGTGGGGTAGCCAATATGGGGTACAACCCCATTAGGGTTTCATATTTGTACCCAAATTCATCCTTAGTTCACTGTTCCTGCCTAGAGTTTTCAACATGGTATTCAGAGCAGGAGGTCCCTAGGACCTCAGGATCGTTTTTTTTTAGGCCCGCCGCCAACCGCTAGCGGTTACCGTGCTACCTCGCGCCTTGCCTTGCCTCAGCCTACCTGCCTGCCTTCCCCCTCCTGTCGTGCTGCCCGTCGCGCTGCCCATCGCGCTGCCCATCGCGCTCCCCGTCGCGCCGCCCGTCGCGCCGCCCGTCGCACTACCCGCAGCCTCGCGCACCGCCCGTCACGCTGCTCGTCGCGCCGCCCGTCGCGCTACCCCGCAGCCCCGCGCACCGCCCGTCGCGCTGCCCCGCAGTCCCGCGCGCCGCCCGCCTTTGCCCCGTAACCCCGCGCGCCGCCCGTCGCTGCCCCGCATCCCCGCTCCCTGCCCGTTCTGCTGCCCCGCAGCCCTGCGCGCCCCTTGCCGGCCCGCCGCACTGCCCCGCTGCCCCGTGCGCCACCTGTCTCACGGCCCGCGCAGCCCGTCCTGAGCCACGCGCCACCCGCGCCTCCCGTGCACCGCCCGCGCAGCCCACCGCGCTGCCCAACCTGCCTGCCTCACGCCTGCCTGCCTGCCTTGAGCCTGCTTGCCTGCCTTGGGCCTGCTTGCCTGCCTTACGCCTGCCTGCCTTGAGCCTAACTGCCTGCCTTGCGCCTGCCTACCTGCCTTACGCTTGACGGCCTGCTTTGCCCCTGCCTGCCTGCCTTTTGCCTGCCTGCCTGTCTTGCGCTGCTAACATGGCGACACTGAACGTTCTCACTTTCGAGCCTGACGGTCGCCCGATCGCGTTTACCACTTGGCTTGACGATCGGCAGCTTTTCCTTATGACTGATGCCAAAGACGGTGTATCGCTTTTCGATCACGCTACTGGCACTGCCGCTGCTCCTGCTGACAGTGCTCCTGCTCTAGACCGCTCACAGTGGCAGACTCGCGATGCTGCTGCGCGCCTCGCTATCCGCAACCACCTGCCGATCACTGAGCGCGCGCATTTCAGTCAGCACAAAACTGCCAAGGCGTTGTATGACGCAGTAGTTGCACGCTACTCCTCCCCAGCCACTGCCGCTGTAGGACGTCTCATCCTGCCCTACCTGTTCCCTGACCTGTCCTCCTTTCCCACCGCTGAGGACCTTATCACTCACCTTCGCGATAGTGAGGCCCGCTTTCGTGCCACTCGTACCAACGAGTTCCGTGCCAAGAACCCCCCTCCGCTCTACTTTACCCTCTACCTCCTCGTCACCCGCCACCCTGACACCCTTAGCTCCGTCAGGGACCATTTCCTCGCCATGGATCCCACCGAGATCACCCTAGACGCTGTAGGTGCCGCTGTAGGTGCCGCTCGAGGCACCTACAGCTGTAGGGTAGGTGCCGCTCGAGGCACTCCCCGCACTCCCCTCTTTAAGGGGTGCTCCG